AACCAGTTCTGCAGCCTCAATCCTCCAGCCCCCACCCCTGGGGCTGCCCAGCTGGAAACTCGGGGGGCGGGGGGGGGGGACGGTGCCATGGTGGAGTCCTATGCTACAGTGGTGCCAGCTGAGTGCATGCTGCTCACAGTCGCCAGGCGCTGGTCATCATGGCCACAAACTCCTCATCCGTGTCCATGGAAGCGCTCACACCACTGTAATAGTCCTGGAATTCAGCCAGGGTGACCTGGGGGCAAACAGGTTCTAAGTAGGGATGGAAATCTAGGGCAGGAGGAGCTAGGGAGACCCCATAGGCACCTACCTGCCCGTCCTTCTCAGAGGAATCAAAGTTGTCCAGGAAGCGGCGGAGCACCTCCTCCTCAGTCCACTCCCCACTCTGCACCTTGGGGTGGGCGTGGCAGCTATACACCCCCCGAAGGTCATCCACGGTCACCACACCATCCCCACTGCGGTCCAGCTTGGAGAATGCAGCTGCAATGACCGCCTCCCGGGCCTGGGACATGGGGGGCTGAAGGAGGGCAAGTGATGACTAAGACTCCAACCCCTCCAGGCATAGAGTGCAGAGCGCAGGGGATCCCTGAGTCTCTTAGTGATGAATTCCTGGGTGTCTGGTGTCTGCTGACACAGGTAATCCCACTGAGAGCTCAGCACACCCCTTCCCCCCGCCAGACAGCTGGGTGAAGGGACCTGCCCCCAGTCAGCCCAGCCTTACCCGGAGTGCCCTCAGGAACTCCTCCAGGTCCAGCGTCCCACTGCCGTCACGGTCCCATCGCCTGCACACACCCTCTGCCTCAGCCATGTCCAGCGCCAGCCCCAGCTCAGCCAAGCCCTGCTGAAGCTCCCTCGCATCCAGGGATCGGCTCCTGTCCTGGTCCAGGCGGCGGAAAAACCTAGGGGCAAGGGCCACAGTTGGAGAGTGATCCCTGGGGCCAAGTGGTCAGGAACGGGTGAGGGGACAGCTCACCTGGCTAGGCCCTGGATGCCAGAGGCCCCTCGGGACAGGCACTGTTCCCGGAGCCTCTCCACAGTGGCGTCCACTGTATCCATGTTAGGTTCAGGCTCTCTGGGCAGCTGGATGAGATAGAGATTAAGTGGGTTTCCTGCTCGGCTGGCCAGGCTACAAGCTGGGTGCCCCCTACTCACTTACCTGGCCTTGTCTGTCCTGGAGTCCTCAGATGACCACTCCACTGGCTCCTGCTTGGTTTGTCCTGTGTTGGCAGTGCGTTCTGCCCGGTAGGATTGTTGCTAAGGGACAGTGGCTCTGGAGACTGGGAGGGGCCCCAGCTGTAACCCTGACTGTGCCGAATGGCAGGGCCAGGAGGGACAAAGCAGTGCTGTCATTGGCAGCCCCATCCACCCATTGTGCTGCTCCCTACCCTGCAATGCTCAGGTCTGGGATAGAGCCAGGCCCAGACCAGGGTGGGAGGTGGGAGTCTTCCTGACCACAATAGGGGCAGGCCACAGGTCTGCAAGGACCACCGTGTCCTGGATGGAGGGAGGCTCAAGGCCCAATTCCTATGTGACCTGAGGCAGAGCCCCTCTCCTCTCTGGACTTTACTGACCCCTATCCCTTTTCACAGGGCAGCAGCCAAAGCTCCTGAGGGATTTGAGTTTAAAAGAGCTGGTGGCGGCCCAACCCATGTCCAATGGGAGGTCCTGAGACCAGTGCTAGCTGAGCCAGGGCACAGCAGAATTAAGTTGGACAAAGTTCCTGGTAGTTATTGAGAGGCCAGTCATGGTGTTTTTGTTGTATGGGTCTTTCGCTGGTTGGTTTTCAGTTCTCAGACATCACTTGGTGGGCTTGCTCGTGACAAGCTGGTGAGCCAGGAGGCTGCGGTACCAAATAGAGAAGTGGTCCTGACCCCTGACATAATCCAAGAGGAACCAAGGCCACCATCACAGAAGGCCTTCGATCCAGATTTTGGACATCGTTGCCAACAGAGCATTACACCAACCAGCAGGATCCAAAAGGACATTGGGATTCCCAAGGACTTAAAATGTGGGCCCTCGCCCTGGCTGGTGTTTCTCTGTGGTTAGAGTCAGCCCACGAAACGAAGGGTCACGGGTTCGATTTCCTGTCAAGGGCACATGCCTGGGTTGCAGATTCCATCCTGGCCCCAGTTGGGGCATGTGCAGGGGGCAACCAATCAATGTGTCCCTCACATCGATGTTTCTTTCCCACCCCCCCTCCCTTCTACTCTCTAAGGAAAAAAAAATCAATGGAAAAAATATTCTCAAAGATAGGATTAATAAAAAATAATGAGTCCCCCTTTGGGGGCCTCCAGGCTTTGCTCTCTGCACAATGGTATGTGGTCAGGAATTCCTGACCCAGTGCTGCAATTCAAGCCACAGCTGATGTCACAGCTCAGTGGCTTGCTGCAGCCCGGCATGCTTTGGGCAGTCAAAGAAATACTGCATTGTGTTTTTTAATGAGTGTTGCATCGGTCTTTTCCCTATGGAAAACGCAGAGTCTAATCACAGTTAGTATAGTTCTGTTTGACATCTGTAAGAGAATCAGAATTTCAACAATAACTTCCAAAAATGGGTAGGGGTGGCTGCAAACAAAGATTAGACACTGTTGTGTGTGTAAAAGTGCCTGTGGTACAAGCTCCTGTGACTGCAACAAGCCCTCACCCAGCAGGGCCCCACCCTAGACCAGGAACCACACAGTGGCCACCTCTCCAGCCCCCCACACCTGGAAAAAATGAGGAAGGACCAGGCTGACAAATCACCTGTTTATTCTTGAGCTCACACAGGCCCCAGCCTGCCTTCCCTCATACAAACAGTCCCCCTTTCTTATTCATCCAGAGGAGAAAATGGGGATATTGTTATATCCTGAGGGGTCAGTGTTAGATGCCAGGCAGACAACAGGCACCATCCTGAGGACGGGATGGGTGCCAACCTTTCTAACTGGAATAGGCCCTGCCCCACAGCAGTTCCCAGTATGACAGTTTCCTGAGTAAGGAGGTGGGAACGGCGCAGGCTGGGCTGAGAAGAGCACAAGGTTCCCTGGTTTGATAAGCAAAACTCCCTGAATGGCTCTGGCCAAGAGGGCAGTGTAGAAAAAAGGAGTTAAAAAATAGATTCTCTAGGGACTATAAAAAAGGAACCGGCTGCTTACTACAGAAGCTAGACTGGAGGGGTTTTACCTGAAGTGCTGGGGACTCCCAACTCCCTTCAGGGCCCACAGACCCATCCTGTTCCTACAGGGGTATTAGTGTAGAACAAAAGCCCTGCCTTCATGCAGCGTACACTCTGATGGTGAGAGCTTCTATAAAGAAAAAATAGCCCTGGCAGACTTGGCTCAGTGGATAGAGGCTCGGCCTGTGGACTAAAGGGTCCAGGTTTGATTCCAGTCAAGGGCACATGTCTAGGTTTCGGGCTCAATCCCTAATAGGGGGTGTGCATGAGGCAGCCAATCAATGATTCTCTCATCATTGATGTTTCTCTCTCTCCTCTCCCTCTTCCTTCCTCTCTGAAATCAATAAAAATATATTTTTAAAGAAAAAAGAAATGCAATGGTAATGGCAGGGGGGGGGGAGGAATGACTTCAGGTAGTCAGGGAAGGCCTTTCTGAGGAGGTGAAATTTGAGCAAGGAACCTGTCATGTGACACCTGGGGGAAGAGCATTCTAGGCAGAGCAGCCAGTGTAAAGGCCTTGAGGCAGCAGTTTTCAAGAAAAGGTTAAGGGAGGCCTGAGTTTTCTAGGACAGCACAGCCTGGCTGCCAGCATCGCACGTGCCCTACATGCACTGCCTTCTGAGTTAAAGGTTGAGGGAAGGACAGAGTTGGGAGGGGGCGGGGGGGATGTCTAGGATCTGTCTTCAAAATAATTAATACAAAATAGCATGAAGCGTGAAGCTCTTAATTCTAGTCTGGGGGCCATGTGGCTCGACTAGAGCGTTGTCCCATGCACCAAAAAGTTGCGGGTTTAATTCCCCTCAGCACATACCTAGGTTGTGGGTTCGATCCCCAGTCAGGGTGTGTACGGGAAAACCGATTGATGTTTTTCTCTCACATTGGTATTTTGCTGTCTCCCTTCTCCTCTCTCTAGAACATTAATAGGTAAGTCCTTGAGTTGGAAAATAATAAAAATAATTCTGGTTTGAGATGGAGTAAGAAAAAGCTCTATCCTGGGATGAAGGATGCTTCAGGATGAAAGAAAATCTGGACAGGGAAAAGGGGAGAAGAAACAGTCTAATAACCTGGAACTTGATGCCATCTGCCTCCACCAGAGGTCTCAAACTCATGCTTCGGGGCCTGGACATCTGGCCCTAAGAGAGGTGAAGGGGCTAATTAAAAAACTCACACTGTGGCTAAAGAGGGTATCCTGGGTTCAGTTCCAGGCAGGCATGGGCAAGTCTAAAGCCAGAAATCCAGGTTTTTGTCTGTAAATGTTGCCAATTTTTCAATAAGGATAATTGATTCAAGGTTTTGTTTTTAAAAAAATTTGGGCTAAACATTTTCATTTGCCTGCAGGCTGACCATTTGACTTTTTAGCAGGTCTGATGCTTGGAAAGTACTATGGCTCTGCCGTGGGGTTCCCCCTGGGACACTGGTGACACCCCCACCCTTGAGTACCCCCACAGCAGTGGAAAAGTCTCCACAGGCACCCTCTGTCTCCATTCTGGAATCTGTGCTCTGGGACTCACACAGTGGTCCCAAACACTGCTGACTGGAGGTGGTCCCTGTCCCCTTCCTCCTCAGTGTTGTTGGCAAGGAGCAAACTGGGCGCACCAGAGAGTGGGTGGCCAGGGTCACTGGCTGGTAGGGGACCCAGGCGCTCGGCCTCAGCAAGGGCTGCCAGCAGCCCAGCCAGGGGTGGTCGCTGGCGGCATATGTCCTGCAGCAGCTCGGCCCGGGGCTGCAGCTGCCTGATGAGCTTGTCCCTCTGGTGCACGGCCGCCTGCAGGCTGTGGACAGTGGCCTCGGAGGTCAGCAGCTGCTCCTGCAGAGCGGCGATCTCGCTGGCAGGAAGACAGAACTCGGTAGTAACAGTACTTGAAGGACCAGAGAGCAGATGCTCCTCTCCCTTCTGATCTCAGGCTCCCCACCATCAGGATAAAGGCCATATTCCTCACCACTGCCTCACGGCCTCCCCTTAAGGACTGAACGGTTATGTCCTTCCCAAGTTCATAAGTTGAATCCCTACATTCCAGTGTGATATTTGAAGGTGGGGGCCTTTGGAAGCTAAGGTTAGATGAGGTCATGAGGGTAGGATCCTCGTGATGGGATTAGTGCTCTTATAAGGAGAGAGACCAGACAGCTCTCTCCCTCTCCTTCTCCCTCTCCTCTGTGAGGACACAATGAGATGACCAAGAAGTCCTCACCAGGAACTGAATTTGCCGGTACTTTGATCTTGGACTTTGCAGCCTCCAGAACAGTGATAAATGTCTATTGTTTAAGCCACCCAGCCTGAATAAACTCATGTCTCCTCCTAGCTCTTCCTGCAGTTACCTCTTTCCCTACATCTTTTCCTATTTGTTGTTCAGCTTAGTTGGCTCCTCCTCTAGGAAGCATTCCCTCTGGATCCCCTCAGAACCATGTGTGCACCTCCATCACAACCTCTGATCAACCCATGTTGTAACTACCTAGTGATGTGTCTGCCTAAGGGCAGAGCTGTGTAGATGTGCCCTAATACCCAGCACAGTGTCTGGCACATAGTAGGTGGCTTAGTAAAGATGAATTAATCCACCCAGCTCTGAATTGTTTCTCACCTGGGCCCCAGTATCTCCCCTGTGCACTTGTCTCATCCCTTTCAATTCTCAGGTGCTAGAGGGACTCTTCAAAAACTTCTGATAGTCCTAGCTGGTTTGGCTCAGTGGATATAGCATGGGCCTGCAGACTAAAGGGTCCCGGGTTCAATTCTGGTTAAGGGCACATGTCGGGGTTGTGGGCTTGATCCCCAGTAGGGGCCGTGCAGGAGGCAGCCAATCAATGCTTTTCTCTCATTGATGTTTCTATTCCTCCCTCTCCCTTCCTCTCTGAAATCAATAAAAATACATTTTTAAAAAAACAAAAACCTTCTGGTAGCTGTAGCTGATTTGGCTCAGTGGATAGAGGATTGGCCCTCGGGACTATCAGGTCCTGGGTTCGATTCCAGCCAAGGTCAAGGGCACATATCTTGGTTGCAGGCTGGAGCCCCATTGGGGCACCTGCGGGAGGAAACCAGTCGATATGTCTCTCACATTGATGTTCCTCTCTCTCTCCCCCTTCCCTTCCATTCTCTCTAAAAATAAATGGGAAAATATCCCTGGGTGAGGATTTCCAAAAAACAAAACAAAACACAAATTTCTGATAGATCACATCCTCTTCTGTTCAAGAACTGCCATGGCTCCCAAAATCTGCTCAAAGAAGTCGGTGGACTCTGCACCATTCAGTACCAGCTGTTTTTACTTTGTGGGAAACTTTTAAGTTAAAAACTCCACACACTTGTGTGACATTTCTTTACATGCTGATGACTAAGTCAAATGTTTTGGTGTTTGTTTTTTCAACCCCTCCGGTAGTACAGCCTCCAGTGAATGAATTCGGTTCCCCTGCCAGCGCTCCCTTCCAATCTCGACTCCGCCTCCGCCCACCTCCTAGAAGTTCACCTGGCGGGCCCCGGGCCTCACCGATCCTTGGCGCGGCCCAGTTC